CATCCAGGGAGTTGACAATTTTGTTAGATTATGAAATAAGTTTCCCCACATACTTGATACTCCCTAATCCCTATATTAATAATGTCACCCCAATAGAGATTCCTGGACCTGACAACTTTAGTTAATATAGGCTTTTGCCGACTAAATTAGGTTTATGAACAAATATGATTTATAACAAAAGAACTTCATCAAACGTTCATAGCCAAAAGGTAAAACCATAAACATTATGGGAAATCAATTACTAATTTTAAATCTTTATACAACAATATGAATAAAAATACACACACACATACTAGCAGTACAATTAATAGAAACAACATGCATTTACCTTTCGAGATGTATCAGAAAAACCTGTTTTAGGAGTAATTTCAATAGGGCTAAATGGCTAATGACAGTGGTCTGTGAAAAAAAAAAGGGAAACAAAGTTAATACAATTGAATTCAAGTAGATCAAACAAAAACGTAAAAATTTATCAAGTAAATTGACGAGAAATATACCGGGTTGAAGACGAAGATCCGATTGCACACGAGGTTGAAGAAGAAGAATCGAAGAGAGGGGTGTGAGTGTGTGACCATGCGTGGAAGTAGATTGAGAGGAGAGAGTGAGAGGAATTCTGAGAAATTAGGGTTTTTGTTTTTGAGAATGAGGGATTGAGGCATTTGAGGGTGGGCACTGGCAGTGGGCTACTGGGCTGGGTAAGTCAGTACAATTAGCACAATTTTTTTTTTTTTATGATTTTATCGCATTAATCACTTATCTTACGCATGTATGGGTCGGGTATAAAGCGGGTATGGCTCGGGTATGGGGTGGGGCGGGGCGGGGAGGGGCGGGTACGGGGTGGGTCAGGCGGGGCGGGGCGGGGCGGGTGTGGGGCGGGTCTAGGCGGGGCGGGTATTACATAAAAACCATCCCCGCCCCATCACCCATGGCGGGTATGGATTTTAGACCCATCCCCGCCCCGCGACCCGCCAAAGCTAGACCCATCCCCGCCCCATCGGGGCGGGGATGGGGCGGGTCTCCTATTAGACCCGCCCCACTGACATCCCTATTTCAATTCATTCAAAGTTTTTGTAGATGGATTAATAAGTCTCATTTACAAATTAAACCTAAGCCTCACACCATATCCAAAACTCCAAAAGCATACTTTTCACATCACCAAACTAGATCTTGATGAAAGAAGCAACAGACTTAACTTCTCATATCATATACTTCTCATACAATATCAATCAAGTCTAGTGGCGAAGCTAGAATGTTTTATTAGGGTGGCCAAACACTCTATGTTCTAAGACATATATTCATATTCCAACCCTTTTAACAACATTAGAAGTATCCTTTAAGCTTGCAAAATACTTCGTATATATATAGATAAAATCTCACTACTATTACGTTACTCTACTAGTACTCTTTAAAGCTTTAAGCAAAGTATTCCATATAAATCTAAGCTAAGAATCAATAAAAATAATCATTTATACATATATATAAAGCAAAATAAAATAAAATCAAAAGAAGATCACAACCGAGAGGGGAAAAAACACGCCCAAAAAAGGCATAAAATCGAATTAACTAATTTAATAAATATTAATACTTTTTTGTTTCTTTTTTTTTAAACTAAATGTGAATTGGAAAACGTATACAACTTGTGCATGACAAACGTGAATACTCCAATGTACACAACCACATACAAGAAAAAAAAACCAATAAACGCTCTGTTCTCTCTCCTCCGTTCACACAAAAAACCCCATTTGAAACCTAGAACTCACCAAAGTTCCGGCGCCGCGGCCGGTTCTCCGGCGAGTTCCCTTTCCTTTTTTTTCAAGTATTATACTACTCGTGTTCTAGTTTGGTGAAGTTGAAGCGTAACCAAGCTCCATGAAGAGCTTCGAACTCCGTTTAGTGCTACCCTCTTCTCACCGGAAAGGTTAATTGTTACCGTCAGTTTTCCGATAGATAGACGAGGAAGCCTTGTTCCACCAGGAATTCTCGCCGCTTAGAAGAAGGATCTAGGTTCAGATTTGTGTGTTCAGGGGACGAAATTGACAATTTTAGGGGTCTTGGGCAAACTCTAACGCCGCCGTCGGGGGGTTGCCGGAAAAAAGGAAATCGCGACGGTGTTTGGTGAAGTTAGGGTTTCGTAGATTTCTTGAGCTCAGTTTCAAAATTCTCTGTTCTGGTTATCTTCTTTGGTTTTGGCGAGTTTCGAAATTGCTCTGAAGTTGGCTCTGTAAGTCTTCGTTCTCCTTAGTTCTTCTTATTTTGAAGCTAGTATGTTAAGGTTCGTTTGGCATTGATGTGGTTTTCTATTTTTTGGCTTTTTGTTTTTAAACTCATATGATATATGTCATATAATGAAATAAAGATTAGTTAAACTTATTAAAATCATTATAATTTTGAAATCTGACAACAGAAAAGTGAAAACAACTTTTTCTTGTTTTCTGTTTTTGGTTTTGTGTTTTAAAAATAAAAACAGAAAACTAAAAACAATAAACGATGCCAAACAAGCCCTTAGTTTTGAGTTTAAGTTTCTGTTGTGAGGTTGGATGTCTCCCCTTTTGTTTTGTTGGATTGTTTTTTTTTTTCTTCTAATGTGTCCCTGTTTGGTTTCTAGTTGGATGGCCATGGTGGGCTTGTCCAATCTTGAAGTGGTAAGGGGAAGTTATTTTGGGTTAGACTCTAGGTATTGGGTGGTGGGGAGGAAAAATGCCCTGCCCTTCGCCTTTGTTTCATGTCTGGGATTTGGAGCAGTTGGTCTCCTTGTTGTAGTCAGTTTTAGCTTATGCTTCCTTGGCAGTGGGTTTGCCTTGAAGAACAAGTTGGGTGAAAGTCATTTGTTGATGGCTCTTCAGCTATTAGGTTTGCGAGTGTACGACTTGAAGGTTTGGTGTTTTGTTTCATCGTCAATTGGCTCTAATTTTGATAATTGGAGTTCTTTCAATGTTTTCAGGTCTATGATGGGTTTTGTACTCATTACATTCAAATTTTCAAATCTGTACGCTACTCCCATATTATTTGGGTTCATAGTATGCTACCAATCATGAATTTCTTTCCTTTAAAAGAGAGAAATCAAGTTACTTGTTACCGTGATATTACCTTCCTTTCGTTTCTTGCTTTGGTTTTGTTTTCCAAGCTCCACAAGTTACAAAGAGTTTCTACCATGGTTAATTACCCAAGCTTCACCCTTGGTGGAAAAAGGACACCGGGAATAACATGTAATGTAGGCTTCGGCTCGCTAGAATCACGACAGTGTTGCCTACAAAGTGGTTCCAACACTCATGGGATAACTAAGAAAGCAGTTTCTTTTAAGTTGGTTTGTTATCTTGTGTTCATAAGAGAGTTACTTGTTACCGTGATATTACCTTCCTTTCGTTTCTTGCTTTGGTTTTGTTTTTCAAGCTCCACAAGTTAAAAAGAGTTTCTACCATGGTCAATAATTACCCAAGCTTCACCCTTGGTGGAAAAAGGACACCGGGAATAACATGTAATGTAGGCTTCGGCTCGCTAGAATCACGACAGTGCTGCCTACAAAGTGGTTCCAACACTCATGGGATAACGAAGAAAGCAGTTTCTTTTAAGTTGGTTTGTTATCTTATGTTCATAAGAACAAGTGTTGCTCGTAGCTTTGTTATTGTAAAGGTCTTAATAGGCCTAATTCTTATTGTTTTAGCTAACTCTTTCAATATACGCAAATTAATCCTTTGTCAAAAAAAAAGAGAGAAAAAAATAAAATAAAAAAATACAGGCATACATCCATGTACAAATGATTAAACAAGAAAACTTGGAAACGTATGTAGTATTCCCTCCGTCCCTTTATTAGAAGTCTATTTCTAATATTTATTACTCACATAATAAAGAGAAATAGGCTTCTAATTTAGGGACGGATGGAGTAATTACTAATTAATAAGAATAAAAAAATAGTCAATAAGATTACCTTAGTAATGTACGTACACTTTATGCCAAGCCCACTATAAACTAATCAAGGGTTTCCTCGGCCCTTAGGAACTATCTTAGATGCCTCCTAGGATTGCATGTCTCGGCCCAAGCTACACTTCATCAAGTGAAATGAAATGAAATCAACAAATATTAATATTACTACAGTACTACGTATAAGAAAGCAAGCAACTACAAAGTCTAAAATCGATTCTTTAATTTGAGCCAATTATTTGATTAAACTTCAAGCTATTACTTTATGGATTATCATGATTTTTAATGAAACCAGTAACAATTAACTTGTTAGTAAAGAATAAATCAATCAACACATCATCATGACGAGGGGTTGTGATAGTGTATATTTCATATAAATCAATCTTGAAATTAAACTATTAGTTTGATAGACCCCTAAACAGGCTTTCATGTGAGGGAGTACTTCGTATTAAGTTAACCTAACTTTGAATACGAGTAAGGCATGTTTAGTTCGCCTTATTTTTACTTAATGTAGAAAAAATAAGTTCAGATCAGAAAAAATAAGTTCAAATCATTTAAAAAAAAAAAGTTCTAACACACTTTAATTTATCGTATAACGTGCGCCTATACGATTTTTTATCGCTAAATTAAATATCTTTAATTTTGTAATGAAAAAAATTATGAAAATTACAAACTACATTTGTTTTATATTATTTGCAAGGATTTGACATAAAGTGTAAGTAAAAAATGTCTAATCGTTGCAAATAATATGAAACGGAGGTAGGCCCCGTTCATTTCACCTTATTTTGCTGAACTGAAATTATTTTTATTGAATTGAAATTATTTTTGCTGAACTAAAATTAATTTTACTGAACTGAATTTATATTTGTTGAACTGGAATTAGTTTTACTAATTTTCTATTATATTTGTTCTTTAAAGTTACTGAAAAACTGAACTTATTTTTACTGAACTGAACTTATATTTATTGAACTAAAATTATTTATTGAACTAAAATTATTTTTAATTAATATTTTTTTTAAGGTAAAGTGAACAGAGCCGTAGTATTAATAAAATAAAGATTATTAAGAATCTAGCAAGACTCGATAAATCTTTATTTATTAATTATAGTATAAGTAAGATCAAAATTTGGTCAAATTAGACAATCAGATTAAATCAAATCAATAAAAATGACGTGAACTAAACAAACCCTAAGTTTGAAAACTTAATCCTCTGATAATCACCCCTATTCCGACCTCTCCCGATTGGACCTCTAGTTTTTTACTCGAAAAGGGTGGCTTAACCAACGAAAGACAGCAAACCCGAAACCTATTCTAACACGCGCAATTTTTTATTTAAAAAAAAAAAAAAAAAAAAACAAGTGCTACATCGTATCGTATTTCTTACATTTGGTCCAAAAAAAACACCATAGTCAATCTCCCAACACTTTACTTGTCAACGAATCTTTCTCCTCCTAGATCTGCAATCCAATCTTCCCAATTCATGACATTCATCTGAATCAATCGATTCGCTGAGTCTAACGAGTCAGTGACTCAGCCATGGCGGACATCTCCGACTCAGCGGTGTCTATCCGAGTCCCCTATAAACACCTCAAGCAAACTGCTGATGTTGAAATGGTTGATTTTGATCATAATTCTCCCAACATTTCTAGGGTTGTTAATGGCGATTCGCCGGAAATTCACCGGCATTCGTCGGATTCGAGATCGGAGAAGAATAGTTTGATGAAATTGATACTCAGTTGTACGGTTGCCGCCGGTGTTCAGTTTGGTTGGGCGCTTCAGCTTTCTCTTCTCACTCCTTACATTCAGGTCTTTTTTTTTCCTTAATTGTTGTTATAAGTTCAGTGTAATGCTATTTTATATCATAATTGTATAATATTTTATGTGATTTTATGATTGTTATTAGAGATTGGAATTGAATTATTGTGGAATTAGGGTTAGGGATTGAAATTTCGTGTTTTTGTAGTGAGATTATGGAGTGTTGCACTGTTGCAGTGGATAATTGTGGTGGAATTGTGGAATGTTTGATAAGGAGTTGTTCCTTATTTTTTAAAGTTTTGTGGATGAAATTTGAGAAATTATGGTTTGGATTAGCTAGTTGAGGAATGAAGTGGTGAAAGTGGAATGGGATCACATGGCTTTGTCGAAAAGGTTGCCTCTTTGTTATTGTTGATAAGTATATTAGGTGACTCGTACTTCGTAGCTTTGTCCGCCCGATCGGGCGGACATTGCCCGGTCTGACCGGGCGGAAGAAGAAGAGGTGCCTGGCAAATTCGTTGAAGAAGCTGCTCTCGCGCCCGACCGGGCGAGCCTTCGCCCGACCGGGCGAGCCTTCGCCCGATCGGGCAGACCTTGCCCGGTCTGACCGGGCGGTGGGGGTTGGATACGTTGAAGCATTCGTATGGAGTTTTCTTCTCGCGCCCGATCGGGCAGACCTTGCCCGGTCTGACCGGGCGGAGAAGGAAAAATACGGAACGCGGATTTTGCGGTTTTAGGTTATCTTATTTTATTATCTTTTTGCCCAAGTATCTTTTAATTAGGGATTAATATAAAAACCTCCCTAATATCAGTATTAGGGTTAAGAGAGACAGAGTGAGAGCCGTTCTTGAGAAATACAAGAATCATCTTTGTAATCTTTGCAGTTTATAGTGAAATCATTCGATCTCGGTGCCCGTGGACGTAGCTATCACATCGATAGTGAACCACGTAAATTCTTGTGTTGTTCTTATTGTTTGCATTGAATTTCTTTATTGTTTTCTTGTTTGTTTACGACCTTTGCTTCGCTGTCGCACAACAATTGGTATCAAGAGCTCAGGTTCAATCCTTGGAGAGTTTCTTGAAGATAACAATGGCAGGAGATTCAACAATAAGAATTGAGAAGTTTACCGGGAAAAATAGTTCGGGCTATGGCAAATTAAGATGAAGGCTCTGTTAAAACAACAGCAGATATGGCGTCCGTTGGCTCCAAAGAGTACTACTTCGGAGTCAGGAGACGGACCGACTGACTCGCAGTTAGAAGTTATGGAAGAGAAGGCACACTCTACCATATTACTTAGTCTTGATGATCAAATCATCACGGAGGTTTGCTGATCAGGAAACGGCGGCTGGATTGTGGCTGAAGCTGGAGTCATTGTATATGACTAAGTCGTTGACCAACAAATTATTACTGAAACAGCGGTTGTTTAGCCTCCGGATGCAGTCAGGTACTTCCTTACGGGAACATCTAGAAAAACTTAACTCTATTTTGCTTGATTTACGTAATTTAGATGTTAAAATTTGATGATGAGGATGCTGCGTTGATTTTACTTGTATCTCTACCGTCTAGCTTTGAGAATTTTGTAGAGTCTTTTGTTGTTGGTAAGGATTCTATAACCTTAGAAGAAGTGAAGGCAGCACTTCATACTAGGGAACTCAGAATGAAAGCTACGAGTGATAATGGGGATAATGGTAGTGGGTTATTTGTTAAGTCCGGAAAGTCTAAAAAGAATAAGGGGTTTAACAAGGGGAACAATGCTGGGTCGGGT